TCATTCTTCCCTTCATAATGGGTTGTAGCAATACACACCAGAGATCTCCCGTATTATGGCCAAGTATTCACGTTTCTTTTTTCATTGTATCAACTATTTCTGCTGTTTTCCTAATTTTGTTTAGAAACTGCATAACCCATAATATGCATTGATTGACATTTACCAGTAACAACACGTCTCAATCTATCCACTGTATTCATTTCAGCTTTTTAGAATGTTCGAACCATATGACAGCATTGATAATTTGCAGCAGCATTTCAAGTCTTAGGTCTTATTGAATATTCTTGTCATTTTCTTCAGTTTGTACACAGTTGCGAGAGCACATTCCCTATTCTAATCTTGATCTCTGGATTATGATTTTTGAACTCTTTCTTTTTAATAACCATGGACTTTTTTTTTGTTCAGATTCATGTTGAGTTCGTATTTGGAGTTGAGTTACAAAAAAAAATGTCATCTTACAAGGTTGTTTAGTTTATTCCATAAACTGTAGAAAAAGAAACACTCTAACTTGTAATTAGTAAGTAGTGAAATTGTTATTGTACTTGGTGGGCGAGCAATATCATATTATTGTGATGCCGTCTTCCATGGAATGCTCGCGCAGAGAATTGCACCCTTAAAATGTGCCATTCGTTCGCGATTCCGCTCTTGGAGGATTTGAATTTGTACTTAGACTACGCATAATTTAATTTTTTATACACGGTATTGCCGAATGACGCGCAAAGGTACGTAGTTAAACCCCACACCCGTATTTACATAAGCCGATTTCGCGCCCCACACAAAGTGCATAAGCCTCAAATATGTATGTCTGCCTTGCACGTGCGATCCCGTTTGTCATTGGGCGCAAACAAATATTTAAAAAACGCTCCAACTTGCAAAGCTACGTTTTTTTTTTAATTTTGGTGTGTGTGATATTTATCAACATTCAGACGAACCTGAACAGTGTCTTGGTAAATGCAATGACCTTAGTTTTTGTAGTGTTTATGAGGAGGCCAGCGTTTTCGCTATGTCGCACTATGTGATCCATTAACCTCTGCAGGTCCTGCGCATTCTCGGCTAGCACAACGGTGTCGTCGGCATATCTGATTTTATTGATTATTTTCCCGTTGACCTTAATCCCACACTCGATTCCGACCAGAGCCTCTGCGAAGATTGCCTCTGAGTATAAGTTGAATAACAGCGGCGATAACACACAGCCTTGTCTTACACCTCTTCTAATCATGATTGCCTCTGATGTTGTTTCTTCACTACTACGTTTTGCTTCCAGTAGAGATTTGTAATTAATCGGATTTCTTCTCTATCTATTCCAGTTTTTTTGAGTACTTCTATGAGCTTTTGGTGCTTAACGCAGTCGAAAGCTTTTTTATAATCTGTGAAACAAGCGATTACATTGACATTCATGTCCCTGCATTGCTGAGTTAGAACGTTCAGCGCGAATAGCGCTTCACGAGTACCTAAGCCACTGCGGAATCCAAATTGAGTTTCATCTAGTTGGTATTCGCATTTCTTGTAAATTCTGGTGTGAATTATTCAGAGGAATATTTTGAGAACATGTGACATCAGGCTTGAAGCCTTTCAATCTCGTGCCATTTCTCAGACATCCACTGTTCTTTTGCATCTCTGCACTCTCTCCTGGCCTTTCTGTTCAGTTCGGCATATAATGTTGGATTGGCCTTGTGAGTTCTTCTCTCATTCATGAGTTCTGGGATTTCAGGTTTCATCCATTCTTTCTTCGTATTGGCTTCAGGATATCCGATGTCATCAACTTATATTTGTGTTATTGTTATTGATGGTGCTGCGGTGGAACAAGTGTCTTCACACAAATATTTGGGGAGCATCATAAATGATCAATGTGATCCGAGGAAAGAAGTCAGATGCCGCATATTTGGGCGTGGAGCTCAGGGTACGCATGGTCAGATGCTATGTTGTCTCGGTTTTTCTGTACGGATGTGAGAGTTCGACCCTAAACCCATCACTAGAAGAGAAAATAGATGCATTTGAAATTTACATTTACCGTCGTATACTAAGAATATCATGGGTCCAAAGAGTAACAATCGCATGAGAAAACAAAAAGAACTTATGCTTATCATCAAAGAAAGAAAAACTCGTTATATTGGGCACATAATGCGAGGTGGAAAGTATGAACTTCTGCGCCTAATCATAGAAGGCAATGTCCAAGGCAAAAGGTCGGTCGGCAGGCGCCAAAACTCTTGGCTGAAGGACATTCGACGATGGTTTGGTTGCTCATCGCTCGACATCTTCCGTATGGCCGTATCACGTTAGCTATTTGGATCGCCAACCTTCGAAAGAAGACGGCGCCATAAGAAGAAGAGATGTTTATCAGCGAATAGTGCTTTTAATTCCAACGATAAACGTTCGTTCAAACTAAAAAAAATGGTGTCAATATATTCATGAAGGGCAAAATGGATAAAAACCATAAAATTTTGTTTTTTCAGTATTAATAATATTGAAAACGTCATTTCAAAATCAAATTTCGGCCCCGATTTTCAAGTAAATATCCTGAACAAACCGTGTTTTTTTAATTGGTCAAAAAATATCGTTAAGCTCATAAAAGGTTTGTTATTACTTCGTTTACCCCGCCCTTTCTCCCCGTCGCGTTACGAGACGTAAATTTCCATTTTCTTTTGAACGTTTCGGAATCGAACGCCATAATCAATTTTAATTTTAGAAAGTTAAGTAGTGGGCGGAAATATGCGTACACTACAAATTAATTAAACCTTCAACGCTGTCAAGGAGATCATTTAGCGACTAGATAGACGCGGAGCTTTCTAATTATTATATGTTAATTGATATGCTCCGGTTGGCTCTTTACCAAAACGTTAAGATGAATGAGCGAGACATGGCAACGTGGAAGAGATCGTGATTAATCAGTTCGTTTGGAAAGTCGCTCTGAACGGACCGACGGAGTCTCAGTTTCGTTTGTCAATAAAATAATTTTCGTATACATTGGCTTCGCTCCGTAGTCATTAGCACGTTGATTAATTCGTTTGATTTCTGAGTGAATGCAAACAGCGCGTTCCCCTACTCCCAGAGGAGTCACAGTTTCTATAAAAATAACTCCATCGAACATCGACGGTTCGCTGAAGACTACTAGTTTTCATTAAAAGGCCAATCGGGAATGTGTTTTGAATTGATGTCCAGTTTCAATTTGATTTTGCTACCAAACAAGTCTTGAACCCTTTACTGGACTCAATACGAAGCCCTTTAGTCAATTGAAATAACTTTATTTAATGCATTTCTATGCTTTGACGTCTAAGATGCAGATCGGTGCGTTAACTAACCCCCGCAAACGAGCAATTCAATTGGGAGTTTATGTTTAAGAGTTATTCACGATGAAAGTAAAAAAGGGCTTGAATACCCTTACGAAGGTACTTTTCAACACTATAATAAAAATAACGAATAACTTTTGTATATGTTGTTTGCTCATTGAACTCGGCATGCTCGGTGAAGATAAGCTGTCTTAAAATAACAGCGGTCCGTTTTAATTCTACTGTATCAGCACTTTATTGCTCTAAATAATGTATTTTTTAAATTTTTTTCTGTCCCTTATACAGCCAGAAAACTTATAATTTATTTGTTACTCCTATTTGCCTGAAGTCATTATGTTACTCTAGGGACAGCCAACACTACTAATGCCAGTGCTAATTTAAAGTTCCTTAACTGAATGGAATTAGTTTGTATCGCCTGAAAAACACATGACTCGATTTGAAAAACGTCATTTAGAACTTTTTTTGTTCGGTAAAATTTATACCCCGGTCGATCGATCCGCATCTGCTTCGGATCAGAGCGTTGTTCCGCTACAAATAATTATGTTTTGCAGCGCAACACAAATTCACAACGGGACCCGTCCATTTAACAAATTGTTTCGGGGGATTTCACAGACCCGAACGTGTCACTAATATTAGCCGGGAAAAGTCTATATATCTAACTCAGGCACGGCGAATACATTCATCTCAATATGCGAACTGCAGCGTATTTAGCAAATTAGCCTGCGCTGGTGAACTCTTGCGTCGTCAAAATTGGCAAATTCGTAATTACTCATTTCTATAAATTTCTGTATCAGGGCCAGGTTGGAATGAAATATTGAATGGATGAGGAAAGAAATGTCAATGGTCTTGTAATAGCGGCGCCAAGGCTATACGGATGTTCTTATATCGCTTTTTGCTCTCCATCGCTGACGAATAGAGCTATAGAACACAGAGAGTCAAAGGAAATATTGAACACATAATTACAAGAAACTGATCTTTTATAAATCATTGTGTTAATATTTGTCATTGTTAACGTTTAAAATATCTCTTGTCTTAGACTTTGATTTAATTTTTATTGTTTACACTTATTCAAAGACTGTGTTGGAATTGTATTCTTGATACTTGTCCTTTCAGCGCTTTTCGCAAAGATCGATACTAAACACAAATAGCTACTACAGACCGAAAGCATATCCGGGGCACTATTGGGAACAAAGATGTCTATATCGTCCCACGTTTCTATTTCTATCGGAGAAAGGATGATGCATCGGTGGTATTATTAAGTTTTCTTTTGAGGCTCCTCAACGCGGCTGTGACGAGGCGAACGTTCCATTCTCCCCATTGTATCAGCGGCTTGTTTTCCGACAGAGGTTAAGCCTTACGCCCATCTCCCCTTCGAAGAAGTATGGAAATATTATACAACGAGCTTGTATATTGTTTCAAATCTTATTCCGGCCCCTAAGTTCTGCCATAAGGTGACGTTCAATTTGAATACGTTGTCGTTTAGGTGTATATGGGCACGGTTGAGCCCTCGTCCCGGTTTTTTCACGCTGATCCGTTGCAGAAAAAAAAACAATAAAAGATTTTCAAAGACGATACGTTGAGAATTTCTTGGAAGACAGTGTGACAATAGATTATAATGAGTGAGAAAGTAATTTCCGAAAAATTAATTTGGATCTTTCTTTTATTTTGAACCGGTCGAAAAACATATTTTCTAAGACTTGACATTTGTTTCAGGTTCGTTGGGTGCAACAGCAACACGAGAAGAAACGCAAGAAACGTGATTACATCGCTGATCCCTCTACATCACCCTTCAGTAATCTATTTAGCGGTGTCGCGCCCGACGCCCGACCCCATGGACAACCCCACTACCGTGCCGCAACCCCGGCGGTATCGTTTCCCGATCCCCTATTCCGGGAGCAGTGGTACTTGGTAAGTAAAACAAAGCAAATGACACACAAGAGTTTCGTGGTAAACTTTTGCATGGCGCATATATATATATATATATATATATATATATATATATATATATATATATATATATATATATATATATATATATATATATATATATATATATATATATATATATATATATATATATATATATATATATATATATATATATATATATATATATATATATATATATATATATATATATATATATATATATATATATATATATATATATATATATATATATATATATATATATATATATATATATATATATATATATATATATATATATATATATATATATATATATATATATATATATATATATATATATATATATATATATATATATATATATATATATATATATATATATATATATATATATATATATATATATATATATATATATATATATATATATATATATATATATAATATATTTTCAACTGTTATCAGTGTTAAATAACTTCTGCTAATTCTTTCTAAATTAATACAAACTCACTCACCAGCAGGTACTGATAATCTTACGCAGATTTAAATAAAATTGTCTCTGTCCAAGTCGAAAGCCGCCCGAATACGTTAATGTCGCTCATTTTAAATGAATTTGGTAGGGATTTTGAAACAAACTCCGGCCGGGAATCTCCTCCGGACGTCCTTTTTGGCACATAGTTCAGTGGAAAGGCTAAAAACTGCGGATTTCATGAAAATTAATGAGCTAGAGGAGACCGCGAGCCGGGACGCTTCTTTGATGATTTTGAGGCTCCGGAGCTCCAACCTGATAACCAATTCGCTATCAACATTTAGTTGGATATTATCCACGCAATATTTTCTTTTATTTTTTGGCTTGTGAAATGAGCTGGCGTTCCATCCAAGCGCTCAAAGACCGGTTTTATGTTCCGACACTGCTTTATAGAGCACGATTTTTTCGTATCACTTAGCTTTTATAAGCTTTTCGGCGGGGAAAATGGAGTCTCCGTATCTGCGTCGATTTCGCTATCGGCAACTGATTAAACGGCCGCCTCGTAAAATGTGTTTTAAAGATTTCATCGTTGGGGAATATATGGCTAATTGCGTAAGCGGGTATAAGAGTGAATGGCTGATAATAAAATGACGGGGAGAAATTTTACCGGGTTTTTTGCATAACGGGAAGTAAGTGAGGCAGTGGAGTAGAGCGAATACATTGAGCAGGGACCGTTTTACCCTGAACTCCCTTTTAGATCTATTACATGATGCTGTGCAGTGAACGTAAAAGTGACTTGCCCCTTAAACCCACAACAACTACTACTTGCATCGAAATTAGAGTTCTCCAAACAATATACCGTTTTTACGACATAGTCCGGTATTTAACTTTGGAAAATTTTTATAAAGGTCTAACGGCAGGCCTATCTCTCTTGGGGTTCTCTTTGTAACCCTCGATAAATATATTCGCAATTCCACAATGAGGTTTCAGAACCGTACTTCGGTATTTCGATCATACAAATGCCGAAAGCTGACGGTTTTGTGTAGAGTTTCATCGGTGAGATTCCTCTATTATTGTTAGTCCATGCGGTGAAGAATCCATTCTTAGTTTAAAATGTTTATTATAAATATAAATGAATCATTAAATTTAACTTCAAAGCAATGTCTACATGAAAATAATCACTACCGTCACTATTAATTCTGGCACTAGTCGACTTCTGTCAACATTTTCTTTTTCGATGACATGTTCTATACATTTTTTCCAACTAGAAGCTGACATTTTTTCTACTTCACTCCTAATTAATTCTATTTCCTCAGAATTAAATTTCGGCGAGGCGTTGTTTCTTCTTAAACTGGGTGTCAGCGGCCCCATATCAGTTTTAAAAGATTAAAATTGCAGTGATATGGTGGTAGACGTACAACTTTGTATCCCCACTCCATAGCCAACTCGTCCTATTTAATGGGCAAATTCAACTTGAAATCGAGCTACCTCAAGTAGGGACTGTTTTAGGAAGATTAATAGAAAGCGCACTAATTTGAATTGATATAACAGTTTAATCAAAGAAAATTTCACCACTCTTAAAATACGACAGTCCGCACGGCACAATTCTTGCCGGTTAACATCTTACATACTACAGTGGCTTGTAGTACACGTGCTGAAAAGAATGATCCCTTCCGCTCTACAAGAGGCGGGTCTTAAACTCAATCCGATTTCCAAACCATAAAAGGTGTCAATAACGGTATATAGTTTGGTGAACTTTACAAATTACTGAGAATCCTGTTAGATTTACTACTTACGTCTACAACGGAAATGCCAATTGACCCAGAATACCGTCATATATACTACTGATAGGACTTTTTAAATATAATTTTTGATAAAAGCGTCCGAAAGTCGATTTCGGTTGCACCCATATAAAGATTTGACGACGTATTTTGGTCCAGTAATGTCCGTCCGATGACCGAAGACCGCAACCCTCCCGAAATTCGGAGGATGGAGAGGGAGATGTGGTGGTGTGCGGCATTCGGTGGTTACAAGTATCGGGTCGTCGCGTTACCGTAACTGGCAAGTGGTTAATGCGATCAGACGCCAGTGTGAGTCCCGGTGAGACCGCCGAAATTCGACCACGCTTTCCCTTCGCAAAGAGGAATACGCGTCCCGACTTTACCCTTCTGGGGGTAATCTAGCTACGTCGATGTTATTAAATTAATGAGATCCGTTATTGCCGAAACGTTGATGGGGTGCCCGTTATATTACACAGCTTATTTCTTTAATTGAGTCGTTCCGCTGCAGCGGTGGTCTAGACGTTTCCAATTTTTATGTTATTTGGATGATTATCCGAAATTCATTTGAAGCTTCTCTCTATAATGGCTTCATTGGTTGCACCTGTGCAACTCTTTCTCCGCCTGCTCCTACAACAGACAAATCTGATGAAGAAATTGAGGAATATTATAATGCACTTAATACGATCAAAGATAAGAAAAGCAAAGGAGGTATTCTACAAAAAAGAAAGCAGAGAAAAAACAAGAATGGATGACTGCAGAGATTATGGAGTTAAAGATAAGAAAAGCAAGAGGCATTCTACAAAAATAAATGCGAAGAAATAGAAGCCCTACAAGAAACGCACGACAATTTCAATGTTCACACAAAAAATAATAGAAATGGCAGGATTACATAAAAAGAGGCAACCGACAATACTAACTGACCAGAATGGTAGAATTATCGTTGAAGTGGAAGAAAAGTTAAGAACATGAACAATACATAATAGAATTTTTCAATGATAATAGAGGTATTAACAGGTTAGAAATAGAACAAGAAGAGGTCACCATGCTATAAAGAACATAAAAAATAGAAAAGTTGCAGAGCCAAATGAGTTACCCACTGAAATTATTAAGAGCGAAAAATAAACATAATCTACACATCCACATACAAGACAGGTATGATATCCTAATCCAATAAAACATAATGCAAGACCATGTAATGACTTCCGAACAATCAGTCTCAGGTGTCACACATTAAAAATATTTCTGAAGCTGATACATAACAGGATATACAAAAAATTAGAACAAGAGAAGCACTCTTTGCTCTGAACGTTATTGCCCAACGGCGCATGAATATGAATCTGCTCCTGCTTCAGTAATCACAACAAAGCTTTCGACAATGTCCAACACGAACAACTGATAAGAATTCTTAAAGAAAAGAATTTAGACGCCAGAGATATAAAAATCATCACATATCTTTATTTAAATTTGACAACGATGATGAGAGTAGAGTGAAAGTATCCCGGGAAACAGAGGACGCAGAAATCCGTAGAGGTATGAGGAAATGATGAAACGATTAGATGAAGGGTGTTGTAATTAACAAGTCCCCCATCAACAACATAAGATACACAGATGATACTGTCCTGTGAATATATATGGAGGGAGGAGTTCGAATTGTCCTTAAATGTACAACACTTAAGGACAAATTTCATGATAATATCCAAAACAACCACCAAATTCTTATAAACAATCAACAAATAGAAAAAGTTGACAGTTATAAATACTACGTCAGGTATGGACTCTGAGGAAATTGGACATGAGAAAGCTAATGGCATTCGAGATGCGGATATACCGCAGAATGCTAAGGATAAAATGGACCGATAGAGTGACGAACAAGGAAATCGTGAGAAGAATAAGAAAAAGAAGTTATTATTACAATTAATAAACGCAAACTGCAATACCTAGAACATGTTATATCATCTACTACAATTGATACTGTAACGGAAACTTCATAGACGAAGAAGTGTAGGAAGAAGGCGTCCACTCATGGATGAGAAATCTACGTGACTGGTTCGGCTGCAATAGAAATCACCTATTTCGATCGGCAGTGTCGCGTATAGGCATAGCCTTGATGATTGTCAACCATTGCAACGAAGGAGACGAACTCTTTCCGGGTCTTGTTCTTGTTTTTTTTTCTTTCCCTCTGAATTTAATACCCTTTTTGCCATTAAATTTATTCATTTCGTTCCTTTCAAAAGCTTCTTGTTTTATTTATTGTGATATATTACCTTCTTCGTTGTATGTATATGTATTTGCCGTTATCTTTATTTAGCCTTCTAAATACAATTTATAATGAGAAACACCAATACAAAAATGTTTTTTTATGAGCTGTGCGCTGAAAACCGCTCGCACCAATTAAATTTAATAAGCTCTCGTGCAGAATTCTTCCTTGATTTCGAGGATGATTTTAACGCTGCAATTTGAAGTCGAACGGTTGTCGATTCATCGTCTATCTATGAAAAGCGTCGGACAGTATTTTTCCGGTAGGAACTGGCGTTCGGGGCGTAGTTTAACAAAAAAATTAGACGAGGAACGAAAGAAAACCCGAAGGAAATTATAGCCGGAGCCGAGAATCGGGCTTTGTAATTTAATTGATTGCGGGGCTGTTGCAGCTGAGCCCCACCACTCCAAATCGAATACACTTTTGATTAATCTAATTCATTTTTGCCCGTCTCAGTTATGGATTCTAT